ATTCGTCCGAGTTTAAGTGTAACACCCTTAACCCGTAAACGTACTCAATTACGAGTTGAAGATGTCACACTAACTTGTAAACACTTACTAAATAAAAATCGAGTAAAAAATTAAACCTTTTGAAACTTAATCATAATTTTCCTTTTTTTCATATAATTTATTAATAATTTAATATTACGACCTTAAAATCAGATTCGATTTCAGTTAGTAAGTTAGCAGTTTAATAATATACATACTACTCTACTAATTTATAAAATACAACCTAACTTATGAAATTATTCGATCAGAGCAACAAACATATGTTTAATATACATGCCAACTAGATAAGTCAAAAGAGGTAAATACCGTACTAATATTAGAATAGGTGCGATCCGCAAAAAGTGATACCCGCTATGCTCCCTACTCCACTAACTGATCTTTTCCTTTACCTATGCATGATAATATTCATATGCTAAGTAACAACTTAATGATACATTATTTATAATACATATATCGTATCGACATAAAAATAAATAAATAAATAAATATTTCTTATAGAAGATGTCTTATAAAAATATAAGCACATATAACAGACATTATAATTCTTTCTTTCATCCGAAATCTGAAAATATTATTTCAAAACACCCATATCCATATTCACAGATAAAAAAATTCAAAGAAAGATTTACTTTCAATGAATCAGTCATTCATGCATATTTTAGAACGAGTGTGTGCACAATATGCAATCATAACTACCAGAACAGAACGCACCTTGGTGCCAGAATGCACAAATAGTGTAACATATATGTTCACAAAATAGTGCAAAATACAGAATCACTCAACCTCATGACATGTCAATTGTACCACTAACTCTCAATGCACATACAATAGTCTTTATAATTCAAACCATATTTCAATTGCAAATTCAAAAATAATCATAACATAAATTAAACCAATTGGACAGTTCATACTTGAAATTATTCTTAAATCATTTCAGAAAATATTATAAAATAAACACATTATAACAAATTCATATTCGATTTATTTCAAAACATTAAAATAAATAAGAATGTACTCACCTTATTAGCCTCACTATCAAACCTTTTACGATAATATTTCTTTTTAATCACGTACTTTATCTTTTGCTTTTGATTTTCTTTGGTCACAAGATTTATCGAAATCTATACAACATCAAATAAACATCACAATATGCAAACCATATGTTAGTATTAAACTAACATAATCAAAATTCAATAATTAAATCTATAAATATAATTCGATATTGAGAAGATATAAAAATTACTTCACTATTCCATAACAACTTCAACCTTTCTAAAATGACACTTCAATTCCATAAATATTCATATTTTCACCAAGCTACTCAATTTTACAAACCTTACAATTTAGTCACCATTTATGGATTATTTTAGAATTCATACCAACTTTTCAATTCTATTCAAAATGGTCCTTCACATTCCACTCAACTTAAACCCAATACCAAAATTCACAGCATTGTAATAATCTGTTCAATCAAGTATATTCACATTTGAAAACTTGCAATTCAATCTTCAAAGTTTCTAATATTTTTGAACTAGTCACCAAGCTTTACCAATTTTGCAATTTGGTCCCAAATCAACATTCCAACATAAAATTCAGCAAATTTCCAGCATATTACCCTCACAATTGAACATTTATACATCAATCCCTTGAATTTCTAAAAACTTGTAAAATGGTCCCTTTTACTTCACAAGGCTCCAAATTGATCCAAATCAACTTCTAAAACTTGTAGAATCATTCCAATATCAATTATCGATCATAGGATTTTTTTGAATATTTTCCCCAATTTAATTCATCTTGGCCAAACCTATCAAGTACACTAGGGCAAGATTTTCATTCAATTTCAAGCATGAATTCAACCTCCTATGATTAAATTCATGCTATTTCAATCATCCTAACATCAAATTCAATCAAAATTCAACCAATCTCCATAAACCCTAACTTGGACAAATTGATTATAACCATTTCTAGGTGATTTTGGTCATCATACAGTCTTGGAAATTAATCTACAACACCAATAACATAAAAATCATCCTTTAATTCTTCAAAATTCAACATGTTCTTCATGAACCCTAATCATGAACATCATCATCCAAACATGTTTTCCATGATTTATTTATACCAAATGATAGAAAATTTCAAGTAGATTAATTCTCTATCTAATAGCTTAATCCAAAAATCAACTGAATAAGCTTAATCTAAAAATCAACCGAATAAGCTTAATCCAAAAATCAACCGAATAAGCTTAAAAATGAAATATAAAAAAATTCTTACCTAGCTATGGTGGTTCACGTTGGAGAGCTTGAAGAAGGCTGAAAATTTCTTGATTTTTCTTTTTAGTTATCATAATACACTTAATATAATTGAATTTAAAATTCAATTAATGTGAAATTATCATTTTACCCTTAATGAATTATGATAATATCAACTTGACACTAGAATATCTTCCATTTCAATATTCCAAAGTCAAATATGAATCAGCAAAAATCGACTTTCCAACTTTATCCTTTGCAATTTTTGAAAATTGCAATTTAATCACATATTCACAATTTTAGCTTAACATGGAAAATCGAACTTAATTACACTGATCCATGTTAAATTTCACAGATCTAAATTATTGAAATAATATTTCTAACAGTTTTTCATCATCCTTCAAATTTTCATAAAATTTTGATTCAATTTGATTATCTGAATCCTTATAGGACTTTACTGCTTTATAGCTTTTAATACAAATCCCAAATCAAAATTTCCCAAGAAAATTTCAATTTCAGAATAAACTATTCGCCAAAATATATAACTTTTAAAAATTACATTTTTGGTCTCTAAACTTTTACAAAGTTTATACTTTAGACACTAAACTTTCAAAACTTACATTTTGGTCACTAGCCAAAATTTGGGGCATTACATCAAGGCTTCATACAATTTGATTTTTTAGGTAAAAATTTACATATGGCCTAACCTGATATATAATTTTTCATAAGATATACAAGGACTTGTTTGATTTTTTAGATAAAAAATTACATATGGCATAAACTATCAGTTTTGGTCAATTTTAGTAACTAAACTTTCAAAAAAAATCAAAACTATCCTTAAAATTTAGTTTTTATTTCATTTTAGTACCGCCATTCTAAACTTAACGTTAAGTTTCGAAAAAATTGAAAGTTTAAGAACTAAAACAGGCTAAAACTAATAGTTTATGTTCTAAACGAATTAAGTTTTTAATTGTAGGGTACTAAAATGAAATAAAAACTAAACGTTAGGTATGATTTTAAAAAAATTAAAGATTTATGTATTAAAACAGACCTAAATTGATAGCTTAGGTACTAAATGCATAGTTTACCCTAGAAAAAAAATATAATTATTTAAGTTATCTATAAATATATAAAGAATGATCATAAAACATATCAGGTCGAGTCGATTTTTTCACACTAAATCTGAACCTATACCTCACCTCGTTCCTTAAAGAAACTTGACTCAAATTTTTTCTTTCAAAATGATGATATTAAATCAGATCAAAATCTATCGATTTTGAATTAATTGACTTAATAAATATAATTTTTTTATTGAAGTCTTCATTCATTGATTCTTCTTTAGTAATAATCTTCCATAACAAACACGTTTGACACCTATCAACAATTAATAAGAAGGGTTAAACAATGGCATCGACTTAAATATAAATAAATGAACCATGAAGTTGCACAGAAAGGGCAGGTAAGGTTGACTTTAGCCACAAATAAATAGATTAAAGTCAATCTCAGATTATATACTACAGATTAATATAAGATAAACTATGTGTTTATTTCCTAAATTATTAATTTTAATCTGTTTGAGTACTTAAACTTTTAATATTTTAAAATCACACCTAATATTTAGTTTTTTTTCATTTTAGTACCCATCGTTAAAAACTTATCATTTTTAGTACCTAAAATACTACTTTTGATATGCTTTAGTACCTAAACTTTCAAAAAAAATTCAAAACTTAATGTTAATTTTTTAACGGATACTAAAATAAAACAAAAATTAAACATTAGGCATGATTTTGGAAAAAAATGAAATTTTAGATACTAAAACAGACCAAAACTAATAGTTTAAGTACTAAACACCCGTTAATATATTACATGGGATGGCTCTTGCAGTTCACACGACATATACTTTGAATGGGAAACACAAATAGCTTGTAAGAATTTCGAGTTGATTTTATAAATAAAACACAAAGCTTATGTTATCGCTGACCATTATTTAAGTATGATAATGGGTTACAAACATCAAGCAAATCAAGTCTGTAATCAGAAATCATAAGGACGTTCAAATTTAATGAGTTACAAACATGCTCTAAATCTGATGGACGCTTCCGAATCATAAATGAAAAATAGGCAAAGCAATTATTCTCAGCATTTGGTCATTGAGACATGATGTATAGCTACTAGTTTGGCATTCATTTCGTACTCTTCCCATCTCACTTTCTGAAACTTCTCTTGCATTTCCTTGGTACTCTTTAGGGGGTTTCGTGAAAATCAGAATCCTTTTCTTCAATGATTCCGGTGAAGGAAATTGCACAATATTTTCTGTTTCGGTTCTGTAGAGCGTTTCTCCGAAAGTGTCTACGACCATCTAAAGAATATCAAAATTATTAGGGGGAAAAGCACAAAAAGAAGCAAGTTTCAAGCTTAGTATAGGTAAAGCATCAGTCTAAGCCCACCTTAGCCACCATTTTCTGAAGTTTTTCATTCAAGTGGTCTTCAAAAGTGATCACAACAGGATATTCTGAAGCATGAAATGCTTTCTCCTTAATTGCTTGCAAACATTTTTGGAGGTCCACAGGAGATGTGAGAGTCCTGCAAGTTTTAGCGAATTCAAAAATCTAAAGTTCGCAAACACTTTGCATAGTAAATTCATACCCGCCGTGGCAAACTTCGACATCGGTTCCCTTGGAATTTGGCCATAGATCCAATTCAATCACTCTTACACCTCTAAGCAGAGCATTTTTAATCGGTTCTACGCTGCTGGAAGTTTGAACTGCTTAGTTGGTTCCCAGTCAAGTATGAGTTATGGTCGGTGAATAAGAACTAATGAGACAATGGCGCATTCATGTCATAATGCACCTAAATCAAAACCATGTGAGATCATCCAATGAGTTGAAATACTTCAATTGAGGCATTACATGGCAACTGGTTATATTATGAACTAAGACATGGATGTCAATTCAATTATGGGTTCGGAGTATGGATGTCTGCTCATATCAGAAAAGAAAAGGAACCCGGAATTACCTGTGAAGATGGAGGATGAATAAGGTTATTGTCACCAAGGAGATATCTAAAGAAGGCTTCTAAATGGAGGCCCCTCCTATGGAAGATATTGAGATGCTTGAGACTATTCAAAATGGCCTGAGCGTCCTCTTTGGTAGCGTCCTTTTCACCTTGATGTCGGATCAGAAACTTGAGAAGATCATCCACCGTCATTGTTCCGTTCGGTGCAAACAGATGGAACACACTCGCCACATCTCGAGGTGGCTCGACTACCCTTGTCTTGAATATTCTCCTCCAACACCAACACACCTTTAAATTCTGCTTCTGCATCTCCCTTTTCACACATATCAAATTCTCAGCTTTGATGATGAGTTTCATGTTTCTTCCTCGTTCACACTAGTCTAGGTTTATATATATATATATATGAAGATGGAAGGACAGGAATGGCGTTTTAATAAAGTGAGAATATGTGCTGAAGCAATCACTGTAAGGAAGCTGAAACAGTTCATATCCCATTATGTATCAGCTCATTCATTATGAAATAAATGGCTTATTTATCACGTTGCAGTTTATTTTACTTGATGCCAAGGGAAGAGATTGCTTGTCAAGACTGTAAAATTTATAGGGTCAAATAAAGAGCAAAGAATGAAGTGGGGGACCAGCTTATTTTACTCATAGCTAAAGCAAGAAGTTGCTTGAAACCCAGATATTTATATTCTCTAACAAAGCAAGGTAAAGAATTTCTCACGCTTACTTCAATTGGAGAATACATTATTTGTGGATTATTGAGCTGGAAAACTTTGATCAACCATCTATATCTGAAAGATTAATTAAAAGAAAACAAAGAAAGTGTACTCATAGGTATCTCTTCTGCCAATACAAACTGTAGTACTACTACTTTAGTTTGACAGCTTTGGTCGACTGTATCAATCTTTAGTTTTGAATTCTGACTCGAATTATTTTATCGGTCATCGTGTTTGTATAATTTCATAGTTTAGATGAAATTTCTTACATTTGACTACTATCTCAGAACAAAAATAAATGAAATTTTGATAGGTTTTTGTTTGAGAAGATTAGTATATATGTGTTATGACTATATATTGCATTTGCATGACCATATATCATAAGTTTGGGGAGGTATTGTATCATGTAAAGGCTAAATATCTACGTCGACAAACTCAAAGCGTAGTAGAAGCCGGAGTGAAGTGTACTGCTCTCCTTTGCGGCTAAACAGAGGCATAGTTCTGAATCCCGGTCTTAATTCGGACACCTGGAAACATGATTGGCCGGCGAAATAATCTTTGTCGGACATGTTATATGCATGAACTTCAACTCGAAGTAAAGCTATTTCCGGTACTGTCAATTGGAATGTGAACTCTTCATCCCACACCGGGGTCCAATTGCCCTTTCTTTTCTTTGTTTTCTTCATTATTTTATCTGCCGGAACTCCTGCTATACCGATCTGTTTCAAGACCGGAATTAGTCGGAAAATTCTTGTTACCGGATTATTGATTGTAATAAAAGTAATGCTTACCCTAGTATAGAATTCTGGTGGAGACCAAAGATTGAGATGCCTTTGTTTGAAATCTAAATGCCATCCATCTCCCATGTATACTTTTACCTGATGAGTAACATGGGAAGGCATATTAGAGAAATAAAGATGACATCAATAACGGTGGGGAGGATTCATTATTTATTTCTTATAAAACTCCATTGATTCTCACTTTTAAGATTTTCTTCACTCGCAGCTTTGCTTTAGCATCAAAAACCTGATCATTTGGACCCACATTCATCAGAAAGTCTGGCTTTTTTACGTACCCACACCCTCCGTTGGATCTAAACATCCCATGCATCAACCTTAGAGGCTTTCCATATCCCTGCAATCAAGCCATGGAAACATGCTTAAGAAATGCTGCTCACTATATCAGATTGTTTTTTTTTTTAAAAAAAGGAACACAAAATCGGACCTGCATGTTTAATGCAACCATTTGAGCTCCATGCAACCAACCAATTAAGGGATTGTAGTTTGATGAATTAACTCGAGTACCCTTGGGATATACCCTCAAAATGTTCCTTTGAGTGAACCTAAAAACACCATTGATTTCCAGAGTTAGATTAGAAACATATCACTCAACAATATAACATTGAAGTAGTCACAGTTGCTGTTTACCTTACAACCTCTGTTCCATGGTAGGCGATAGCCTTTTCGAACTTTAGTTCACCCAAACTTAGGCGTATTACTTTATCATTCTCAACTTTTAGTTTCTCCCTCAGCTTTCCCTTGGGCTTTCCAGCTGGAATGGAGATTACACTCTTGTAAGCCAGTGCTCCCGACGGCCGCAATAGCCGATAACAGGCTTCATTGTCGCCATCACATTGACTTTGTTCACTCGTATCACAGTCACTCTGCAAATAGATCAGGGCACAAAGGTTTTAAAATGAGAAGTCTGTGCATAAATAAGAAGAAATAAGAGATAAAGCCTGTCTTTGTCCTTTTGTGCTGACCTTATGATCATCATATGTGAGGTCTGGTGACATTCTCCCCCACGTATCTTCATCGGAATCTTTGTCTTTCTGAGAGTTACTTCTTCTGTTTGATAAGCTCTTATCTTCAAGGTATTCTTTCGGGGGTTTAGTCGATATGATAATTCGATGTTTCAGTTCTTCTGGGGAAGGGAATTCTTTCACACAATCAGATTCCGGATAAAACAACATGTTCCCAAATGTTTGCATCACCATCTACAGATATATAAGAAACATTCATCAGAAAATGTATAATTTTCCAGGAAATATGTATCTGTTATAGAATTCTAAAGATAAAACGATTGTAGACCTGAGCAACTTTAGCTTGAAGATCTGGCGTAAGGTGATCTTCAAAAGTAATGATCACTGGGAATGGAGATGCAGAGAATGCATGCTCTTTAATGGATCTCAAACATTTAGTCAGCTCTACTGGAGTAGTCAGAGTCCTACATTTCACAAATACACATTTCAAAAAAACTGAAATTAATTGACAAAGTTTTGGATTTGAACTGTAAAATGCTTACCATCCATGAAGAACAAGAACATCATCCTTCGTAGAATTTGGCCATAAATCAAGTTCCACTACTCTTAAACCTCTCTTTAGAGCCTTTATGATTGGAACATCGCTGCAATCACTGCTAATTTGATTTCCAGTCAAATATGAATTGTGACCCGTGTATATGAAGTAATGGGACAGTGGGGCTGTCATGTCTTGATGAACCTGAATGGAATTTGTTCTCTGTCAATACATTAGAATTTCCTTCCAAACAAAACACCAGGAAAATAACCAGCAAAAGGGCTTATACCTGGTCGAGGAGAGGAGGATTGAGATTCTCGGAGTACAAGTAAAAGTGAAAATCTTCAAGGCTTAAACCCAGCTTTGTAAACTTTCCACTGTTACGCCTCCTAAGCACTTCCTCCACAACCCTCTCAGCATCTTCCATTGAAGCTTCGACATCACCTTGAACCTCCACTAAGAACCGCCTCAGCTGCTCCACCGTCATGCAGGAACCTCCTCCTCCGGCGGCGTACGCCATGAAAGCATCCTTCACGTCAGCCGGAGGTCCTACCTCAGTGACCCCGAATTTTTTGGGGAAACAAATACACATACTATAGTCTCCCATGTAGCCCATTCAAAAACTAGCCTTGAGAAACCCTCCTTTTACTGAACCAGATCAAGAATTTCAAGCGCTGATGATGACAATCTTTACTTTACTTCGGAGTTGTTTCCACTGGTTTCCACTTTGTTGGAAAGTTATGGATGATTTTGACAGGTGATACGTTGCTTCTACTTGTATCATATCCGTTCAACGAATTCCCGCCTTCTTTGTTTGAGTGGGCAAGAGAGATTCCGGGAAGCTTGATTTTATTCTCCCACCTGCTAGTTTCAAAGGAGAAAAAAATGGAAGCAGAGAGATGTCTTTCGACAAAAATTAGTGTACTTGTTTAGAAACGAGAATAAACTGTGATAGTCGTGGATGAATTGAATAAAACTGGAATTCTAATGTAAGATTCTTTCAGTGTTTTCTTGGTCAAGTTTTCACCTTTTTTTGGCATTTTGATCGTTAAAATTTGCTTTTGATTTGTTTGAGATAAAGCCTTGCGGTAATAAGTCTATGTTGCTGTGAACGGGAAGAAGAAGCCTTGCGGATTTCACACCGTAAGAAGTTTACGTGGAAAAAGAGAGATCCCCTTCTCTTTTGAATTAATTTTAATCGAGAAAAAGAATCAATTCCAATCAGTCGCGTTGCTCGTCGGTAATCGAATCCAACTTTTTTTTTTTTTGAAATAAAAAGAATATAAACCTTTTCGATAAAAACAAAGGGACAATATTTTAATGAATCGCTGCTTCCATTATTTATATCAATTCCACGCGCGCACTTTTCTAATAATCACACAGATAAAGTAAAAGGGTGTGTGGGTGGGCTGGACCGCCTTCATCCGACTTAAATTGCATTATGGGAATATATTAGGACCTCAACGAGCATGGAATAATTACTTTATACAATAAAGTAACTCTATTTTAGAATTTTATTACAGATATTTTCAAGTTTTTAAATATATTATAAGAAATTTTCATATATATATATATATATTATAAGAATTTTTCCTCAATTTATTTAACGTACGATTCATGATTAGTATTTGGTACACTGATAATAAATAATGTTATACATTGTTAATGTTTATGATGATGAAAGATTGTTAATACTGATCAGTCACCGGGTGGAGTTTTGGTTGATGAGATACGGTGGTTGGCGGTGACTCTTTACATCTGTTATTTTTGCTCATATCCGACGTAATTAGAGATGGATATGAGTCGGATTTGGGTCAATTCGACTTAATTCAAAAAATATACACCATCTACTTGATCTGAACCAGATCTAATTTTTTGAGATAAAATCCGAACTGACTTGACCAAAATAATATATATATTAAAAATATTTTTTATTCAATAAAAATAGGGATTTAGTTGAAAAATAATATATATATATATATATATAGATATTATTATAATTATCTTTCAATATATAAGATAAACTTATATTTTTTTGAGTCTACACTTATATTTTTTGTCAAGTCAGTATTTTTCACTCTAAATTCCAATTCAACTTGTCTCTAACCTAATTTTTTGTAAAAAAAATGACCCGATTATATCAGATCGGATTGGAACTTGTAGGTTCGAGTCTCGTGCCCATCTCTACGTGATGGTAATGGGGCAACTCACAGCCTTGCACGTAGTGGCGGATCTAAAAATTTAAGAATGAAAGTCTAAAATTTTAATTTTATTTTCTTAAAAATAACGAGTATGTAAAATTTTTATTTTTTCCTTTTTTTCTTAACATTTAAATTAAATTTAATTATTTTTTCGAAATAATTGAAGGCACATAACCCTACCGGTAGGAGTGAGAATAGGCAAGACTGGCCTACAGGGGCCTAAGCCCTGGCCTAAATAAAGCCTGGCGTGGCCTGGCCTATTTAATAAAAAAGTCAGGCTCAAGTTTTTTTAAAAACCTATTAATTCAAATAGGCCATGCTTAGGCTTATTATTAAGCCTTATAAGTATGATAGGTCGGTCTATTTAGAGTAACTACTTTGTAAAATGCGCCTAAGTTAGAGTGACTTAATAGAAACTTTACTCTAAATTTAGTGACTAAACTGAAAATATTTGGCTAAACTATAAGGTCTAGAAGGTAATTAAGCCTAAATCTAATATATAAACCTAAAACTAAACAAACTCCCTTTCCCCGTTTCTTTCTCTCTTCAATCTCTCCCCCTCCAATCATCTCTCACGAGCGGGTCTCCCACCATTGCTTCATTCATTTTTTTATTATATATTTATTACAAACAAATATAAATATCAACAAAATGGAGCATGGACAGTATGGACGCCTGGGCGGCAACAACATTTGATGGTGTACTAGTGCAGACGTCGAGAATAACAAGGTATGGTGCTGATTTTGGGTACTGTGCAGACAAGTATGTAGGATAAAAATTAGTGTTTAAAATACTTATATTATTTTTTGGGTACCAATATATACGTGTCCAACTAAATTAACGTTAGATTAAAAAATAAACCAAATTATATTTTAAAGGTTTGTTTAACATATTATAGAAGGTGTGCTATTTTTTAAAAAAAATAACTATCAAATGAATATTTCTATAACAACTATTAAATAAATATTAAATATTTATTATGAAATAAACTTTTAAACAAACTAGGCCGAGTTAAAATAAAAGACTTTGACAAACTATAAGTCAAGTTCATACCTTCAAAATTCATCGCAGACTAGTCTTAGGCTTATTTTAGCCTGGCTTGACTTATTCTACCCCAACCGGGAATTAATACATTAGCACCTGCTTGCACGTGACTGGTTGAGTGACCCCTCGTTTTATTGCCGTTTAGTTATTTCTGGAACCACTACAGCAAACAGGAGCATTTAAGGCTTTAAATGCTGTCCTGAATTCATTTAAGGCGTTTTTTAAATATATATATATATATATATAATTCATTTAGTAGTAATAATAATAAGGGTAAACTACATAAATGGTTACTTATGTTTGAGTTTAATAAATATTTTCTTATTAAATTTAAAAAACATAATATTTGGTCATTTTCGTTTCATTTTAATTAAGATGTGATTACTGAAGGTTAACGTTCGTTTAAACCTTTAACAATTTGCTGATGTGACACGGTAAATATATAAAATTAAACTTACATCATTTTCACATAGATAATATGTGGATTAAGTTTTGGTCATTTTCCTTTCATATTTGTATACTTTTGCTCACTAAATTTAAAAAACATAAGTTTTGGTAAGTTACGCTAACATTTTATTAAGTTTTAGTCATTTGGATTTTAAATGTTGTTAGTTTGATGACGTGATCCAATAGTAAAATTGTTTAATTTTTATTTAAACATATACACTTTAGACAAAATACTGATTATGGATCTTTTTATAAATTCAAACTAATTTAGGGATAATATTTTAATTTATTCATTTTTAATAGGTTTTCGTCTTATCCCCATTGTTGTTCAATTTCTCCTACTTCTTATTCTTTAGACATCTCTGTTCCATTGCTTCATTTCTCCATTTGTCTTCTTTTAATGACTCATGCTATATTTAAAAAATAATGCAAGATTTCTAACTTTCGATAACAAATAATAACACCACAAGTTTAGAGAAAAATGAGAGAGTATGCATCTAGAGATAAAATTAAGTTATGTAATCTCAGTTATACGAACTAAATTCAATTTTCAAAGATTGAGATTGCAGAACGTTGAATCCAACAATGAACAAGAAGATAAATTAATGGATCCAAATAAGATAATCGAATATCACTCTTCGGGTGATTTTTCCTTGAAAAAGTGTCTCCCGTGAAAAATAATCAATGGATCCAAACAACACGATAATTAGATCAATGATTTCATCCACTGAACTCAATCCAAAATCCATGATCTTCAATGTCGAATATTTGTTTTTGCTCAAGAATAAGCAATTTGTTTATTCTAGATCCTCATGAACAATGTTCACCTTCTGAATTGCCATTAACCCCAACGGCTTGCGCGATCTGTCGCATCACTGCCACTGCGTCGGCCTTTGAGTACTTCATTTATGCGATGATCCGATCAACAACTCACCAGTTGAAGCAGAGCTCATATACTGAGTGAATGTGGGTTTGATCATCATAAACGTCATCGATCACGTTCGGATGTAACGAAACATTCTCGATGATCTTTCTCATCACAGTGATTTTGTTATTCAACAATGTGTTAGAAATGAAAACGTGGTACTGTGTAGTCAATAACGTCACCATTGAAGAAACTCTAGTTTTCTCATCTCGAAGCGGTGGCGTCGCCATGGCGATGAATCTTTTCAAAGTTTTAATGGCGAATTCTCTACATTTTTCATGATCTTCATTAGTTCTTTTTATAATTTTTCTTATAACTGAGAACCCACTTAATTTGACTTCAATTAATTATAACTAATAATTAGAAGCAAGAAGGCTATTGCAGTGAGTATAGATGTCTGAAGAAGAAGTGTGGAGAAGATGAACAATATTGGAGGTTGGGGAGAAAAAAATTAAAAATAGGTAAATTGAAATATTGTCCTTAAACTAATTTGAATTTACAAAAATATATATAATCAATATTTTGTCTAAAATTTAAGGATTAAAATAAAAAGTAAACAATTTTACTAACATATCACGTCACTAAACTAATGACATTCAACGTCCAACGATAACGTAAATGACAAAAACTTTTATATATATATATATATATATATATATATATTGAATAAGTAGCCTTTGGCTCAACATAAATGGATACCACATTTCATCAATAAAAAATCAAAACCAATTGTAAAAAGGCCTAAGGCTTACGGGAGGAATGGACGACGTCGTTCGGTGCAGCTATGATAAATAATTCAATTAGTGCCTACTTTAGGGTTCTTTCTCTATCAGATGGCTAACAGATTGGGGACTCAGCTCTTTGTTAGCAGTTACTCACCATATCCCTGTGTCTTCCTAACTTCTTCTCTGTAGATTTATATGGTTTTTTTCTCTATTGTTTTGTTTTCCTTAATCAATTTATGAACTTGGTCGCAGAATTGTCATTTTTCACAAACCATCGAGAGCTTAAGAATTTGTTTTCACCGTTTGGTGTTGTTAAAGAAGGTATTGAATCTTCTTCACCCAATTTTGCTATCGTTTTCTCTGAATATCACAGTGTTTGATAAATTCCTGCAATGGATCTTCTTGTGGGGGTGTAGCTAGACTCATCAGGGACCCCAAAACTCAAAGGCCTAAAGGGTTTGGTTTTGTTACATTTGAAACCGAGACAGAAGCTCACAAGGCATTGAAAGCCATGAATGGCAGGGTAACCCTCTGGTTTTCACCTTATTTCTTTATCTTTTTGCATCTATTACTATCTGGGAATTCTTCATTTTGGAGTTTGAACTGATTGTGTGTGTGTGTGTTTTTTTTTTCCTCTAATGCCAATCCTGATTTTCCAATTTGATTCATAGGTAAATTTGTGGTATAGTAAAACTGAATCAATCTGATAAATGCTTTGCTCTCTATGTTAGTGTCCTTTAAATTGAGAGTATTTTTCTTGTTATGGAAACATGTTGCGGGAATGCATGCACCTTTTCTTACGTGCTTGTGTTCTTCTGCACAAGATTGTCCGTGGAAGGCTGATTTTTGTTGAATTCGCACATGATAAGGAATTCAAGACTGATACAAACAGCTGAAAAATTGGCTCAATAATATGCTTGTCTCGAAATCTTTTCATTTCACCAACAGTTTGTAAGATGGTTTCCATCAGTTGTATGTGCTTACAGAACTCCAAAAGAAAAAAAATTGTAGATTGTAACTCCGTTGATGGTCGTATGTATCAACATTCTATGAAAACATTGTGATTGTTATTATCACTCGAGGAAAATGAAACATATGGACTACTTTGTTTGTTGACAAATTACATCCTTAAAAAGCTATCTACTTGAGTTCCATTTTGAACAGAAAGTATTCCTTATAACATTAGGGCGAATGTTGCCTAGATTAGGATGAGCGGTACGTTGTAAATTTTTTTCCTGGTCTTGTCATGTATTTAGAAAGTCTTTGGATATATGTTGGGCGGGAAATGAAGAGATGGAGCAGCAACACAGTTTGGGTTTGGATATACAACACCTTTTAGTTGAGAATGAGGAGATGAGTATTGTTGTTATGGATCATAACTTTAAGATTAAAAGCAAAATTAGGTGGAATTATGGCATATAGATAATCATGGTTGAAGACACAATTGGTGAAGTATTTAATTCAATGAGGCTATGCATTGCACCCGAGAAAGCATAGAAGAATAATTTAGACTGTAAGTAACTATGGTAGCAGCAGTGTTCTGAATCCTTGGAGCAAAATTGAGATGATGCATGCTAGAACTAACTTGTGCAGAAATTTATGCTACGGGAACTTGAATAAGAGTTCCGGATACGATTATTTTGCTCAAGATTAATATATTTAGTTGAAGGATCCTTGGAGGTTCGGATGAAAATGTGTCAAATGTCAACTACAGGTGAAATGAAGAATCAGAACAAAATAGCTTAACATAGCTGGAGTTTTATTTTATTACTTATTTTTATTTGACAGACAGGAGTACATGGAGCGTAAAATAGCTTCAATCCTTCGGAGCAAAACGGGTAGTCCGCCAACCAAACTAAATAAATAATAAATTAACTTGTGTTCATTGTCTCAGATAAAATCAAATCGCATTAGAAGTCTTGAATGGTTTAACGTCTCTCCTTTGCGATCAAAGAGGGGAACTGTTCGAATCCCCTGCTTCAATTCAGGGACTGGCAAACAAGTTTGACCGGCGAAATCATCCTTCTCGGACATGTCATATTCATGGACCTCAACTCGGACCAAAGCCAATTCGGGAACTGTCAATGGGAATATAAATTCTTCATCCCAATCGGGTTTCTAGTCGTCATCTTTTGTCTTTGTTTTCTTCGTTCTCTCAGCAGCTGGCACTCCTGCTATGCCAACCTGCATTACAAAATCATCATCAATTTCATGGAACAGGGTACTGGTTCAAATATGTAAACCATTAGCATCTCCGGCTGCTGGCGCAAATCGTCTTACCCTTGTATAAAAATCAGGTGGCGAAAAGGTGTCGAAGTGTGTTTTCTTAAAATCCAAGTTCCATCCATCTTCCATGTAGACTCTTACCTGTCAGGTAGACGATAGAGGATTCAATAGGAGGGTGATGAGAAGGATGTGAATCTGTTAATATTGAAGAATGTTTACCCTTAATCTTTTCTTGACAGGTAACTTAGCTCTTGGATAAAAAACCCGACCGTTTTCATCGACATTCATAAAAAAATCCGGTTTCATAAAAAAAAAACAGAGCATTGCACAGACAATTGGAAAAATGATCGAAAATAAAATAAAAACAGGTCACCTTCGTATCGATCGGCGGATTTAGATCTGCAGAAAACAAGTACTGATAGAAATCATCGTTAGTCAAAGCGTGTCTTCTGAATCTCGCCATATGATGTCGTTTCTGCAGAACCTGCAGCGCAATCTCCTCCGCATCAGCAACCGTCGCACAGTTTTGCCCCTGCACTTCCACCAAGAACTTACGCAATTGCTTCGCCGTCATTTGATCCCCGCCTTCAGCGTACTTGTCGAATGCAGCTTTAACATCCGGCGGTGGTGCCTCCTCAATGACTTTGAACTTCCTAGTAAAGCAGCCGCACATCCTGTAAGTCCCCATCGATCAACTCTGCGTTTTTCTTTCCCCTTGATCGAAAATGTAACAAATCAATGCTGATTGGAATGGTTTTAACTTGACGAATCTCTGTGTGCCTGTGGTATTTATAAGGATTTGGTGTTTGTATTATTAGAATGAGGTGGGTTTAGTTTAGCTTTTTAGTTTCCATTTGCATCAGCAATTGTATTATTGATTAAACAAGTTGGTAAGAACTTGCAACTTTTATACATGCCATTATGAAAGGAATAGGCAGAAAGAAGACAAAGATCCAACTGGACATCCAATAGCAATATGAACGTACGTTTAAAACATGGGCACGTTCGTGTCTGAATCTACTGCATGACTTTGCCTGGAAGCACAAGAAATATCTGCTGCCTTTATTTTTATATCCTTGGTGTCTGACAAATTAAAACATGTGATGGTTTACATGACAGTTTTAAATTGAAACCCTAAACTCTCCAACCAACTCTTTTTTTTTTCTTTTCTTCTTTACCGAGAGTAGAAAATAAATCGTGTTGAAAACGTCAGAGTTCGAAATTAAGTAGTCATCTTAAATTGTTAAGTGCAAGTCATGCCTTAAACCGTAAACACCTTCCGAACTTTCTTCATCTTCCTCCGACATATTGGGCATCTGCCTGCTTCTTCTGCAATCCTGCACGCATAAATCAATCAAGTTGATTACAACCTTAATTCCCCACTATTCTATATAAAATTAACGAGTTCAACGAACCTTGTTCCACACATAAAACAGGCCGCAAAATGTCCACATGGAAGAAAGAAACAATCTCTGGTAGAATCGAGGCAAACGACACAAGCACCCTGAGGTTCATTGTTGCTTCTTTCCCGCTCCTTCAAAGGCTTTCCTTCAAGACTAGTGGTTGCCTGCTCCCATGTTTGCAGATCTTCCTTGTCCTCATCGTTGGATATGGAATCGTAAGACGAACCCCAGCTTGCGATGTCATCGTCTTTCTCCGGAAGCAACGGTGCTCGTTCTGATCCCAGCTCTCCAGTATGGAATCTTGGTTCGCCTCTGCTCTGGTTCGTTTTACATAATTTAAAGGCTAATAATATTAGGACGGTCATCACACCTACAGCATAGCAGAAGTGGTAAACGTAAAAATGGATTAAATACAGCTTAATACTTAAGCTAGTCCAAACTATACACATTTTACGTTATGGAAATGGAGAAACCTGATCCAACAACGTATGTAATCCATCGAGGTCCATAAGATACTTTAACATACCAGATACTATTAAGAGTTTCCTACAAAAAAAAAAAAAACTGAGAATACATTAAAGAAAACAGGTTCAAAGTCAAGTGTCTTGGCTTCACCAGGATCAAAGTTTCTTGCTGATTAACACGTAAAAATCGACAATCGTGTTCTTTTTACCTCATTCCGAGCAGGTGAAGACAAGACAACAACAATGTCTTCAAGAAAATAAAGCTCCAAAGCACACAAATGATCTCCAAAAGAGCATCTATAATACGCTTGACTTGTGTTATGAATGAGAGCCTTCACTGAGAAGTTCAACTGTATCTGAATAATAAATCATCTAATGCAAGATATGAGAATCTCAAGTGCATGGTTCTATGGGAACTTATCTATTGTAGAAATGAGAAGAAATTAAGCACTTACCTGGACTTCCTCAGAATTGAAATTTCCCACAGCAACATAATAATTAGAAGACTTGGGAACTTCCTGTTGGATCCCACCATTTCCTGCAAATTAAGTTCAAGTTCAACTGTATCTAATGCATTTCAGAGAAATATTCATGAACGTTCCTTCATATTAAAACCTTACCATATATTATATTCCATGACAAACTTGTATTGGGATGTGATATATCTTCTACCCACTCACCAAGGCTTTTAATACCTTCAATATGTTTTATAGAAAATTACACCAATTAATACATTTCAACATTTGTGTACTAAACTCGTGATGTTCAACATGTTTAAGCCATCGTGTTTATTTGAGTGCTTGTATAACCACCAACTTAACTCGAGTGAAGCAGAAAGTTCAACCTTGGGAAACGACAAGTGATAAAGGCAAGGAACCGGCGGATCTTATAATGTATGAAATATTCACTTGAGACCCTTTGTTTAAGAAGAACAGCCACTCCTGGAAAGAATATATAAAATAAATAAAACTCTAAACCATTAATGTAAAATCATGACTTGACAGTTGAAAGTAGGAAGAAGGGGGGATGGGGGTAGAGAATTTAATACCTTGTGGAGATTTGCAGGTACAATTATGTCATGTGTTTCAGTCCAGGAGATTACAACATCTAAAGGAGGTGGTCTGTGAAATCCATACACCATTAACCCAGGTTTTTGCTTATCCAAATCTTCAAACTGTAACCAAATTAATCAAAGATTACTTGAGAGTAACGGCACTAGCAGAAGCGAGTTATGAGTTTTGGATATGTGTCTAAATACAGATGAATCTTAACCTTTGTTTTGATATATTAGAAGATTATATACCCATGCCCAAATACATGCCAGGCAGAATCATGATAGCATGGGAAGCAAGCAAGCACTTAAGAAAAACATAGAAAGAATGAGATATGCAGCAATATTCACCTGAACAGACTGAACAAAGAAAGAGTTAGAGCGTAAAAGGCTTGAGGAATTTGGACCCATTTGTAAAGTCAGAGATCCATAAGAACCCATAATCATAATCATGGATGCTGCAGGGACAAAAAAAGTAAGTTAAAAGTCAAGTCCTTTAATATTGGTTTCTGAGACGAGGGACTTGAACAATTGAAAGGTTTATATCTCAAGCACATTAGAAGGGGAAAAAAGGAACAGAGAGAGAAAACAAACCCAAAAAACAAAATGTAATAAGAACAACACCGCAAGACCAAACATCATCATTCATAATCCTATCAAAACTTGGAACATCATATATTGATATATTGAGATGATAAGATGCCCCAGAAGAAGATAGAAGTTGTTGCTGCCGCTCCTGGTGAAGCAAGGTTTGACCAGTTCTTTGGCCACCATTACTTTCTTCATCTTCATGGACTTCTGAGCTAGAAGGAGGAGGTGGTGAAGGTGCATGTCGACTACGGTCCGATGAATGCTCCATTTTCAAACTTAAAAGCAGGGTATAAAAACAGAGTAGTAGTAAAGACGAAGAAATAAAGTTGGGCGCAAATAAGAAAAGATTGGTTTCTTTCCCCTTTTTTGTGTTATTTTTCTCACTTTTTGAGGGACTTAAAAGATTGAGGAATTTGAAGTAGCAGAGATGGATGATTATGATTGAAGCTGTCATTTGTCCTTCCTTTGTCGTTCCATGCGGACATATGAATGGTAGCTGATGAATGGCAGGCAGGTAATTGAAACTTGAAAGATAGCTTTGTAGTTGTAATTGTGCTGCCGACCAGTACACCTTTTGCTTTATTGCCTATTTTACGTACTGTTTATAGGTTTTTATAAGGTTTAATATATAAAAAAAGTGCTAATGACTCGAAAACGATTTAGTTTCTAAATTTTCTGTTGTTAAAAATAGATGATTAAAGTTTTTTTCGTTATAATTTTAGGCGTTTACAGTTAAAAAAATGTTAAGTAAAACGTATCATGTCTAGATTTTTTTAAACAAAAATTATATATATATATATATATATATATATATATATATATATATATTTAAATATGAACATGACACGTATCACTTAACGAGTTTTTTTTAACGATAGACATCTAAAAGTTTAACGCAAAAAACTTTAAAAATTTATTTTTAACAAAAAAAATATTTAAGCGTCAAAAGTTAATTTTAAGTATAATTTAGACATATTTTTATAATAGAGAATAATTTCCTTTGTGTGTGTTTAAAAATGTAGTTTTGTTTTTACTCAATTAAAAAGCTTTCGACAATTTGTTAGTTCTTTTTTCTTTCACAAATAAGTAGGTGAACGAATTACTTCATGGAAAATTCTATAGTGTAAGTTGTATATCGTAACTTACTATAAAAATACACCACAAATAAATTTATTTTTATTATATAAATATTAAAATATATAAATTATTTAAAATTAATCATTAGTTAGATTTTAATTTTACTTTTAATAGATTTATAATTTAATTATAATTTTTATGAAATAATAATAATTAATTTAAGTAATTTAATTTGTTTAGAATCAAGTTTTTTTTAAATTATTTAAGGTTTGAGGGAATCTGTCAGCAGCATTACTGTCGAAGCCAGAAACACGTCAAAAAATAGTTTACAACAAATCCAGCGCTGTCGTCGTCCAGATCCCCGTCATGAAGGAGCAGCAGAGTCAGGCGTCAACCCGCAACTGTTTCCATTATTTTTACTTGCGTTGACCTTCGAAAACTCAACCTGCTCCCGTCGATCGACCGTCTCCAACCGCTGACGACCACCATGACCGCCAGTCATCGTTAGTCCCCTACAGCCGTCGCGTGCAAGTTCGTCTGCAAGAAATTGGCCGATCGTCTCCTTCCCTTGCACGATAGCAGTTTAGTTTTATTTTTTAATGGTTAAATTACATTACAACCCCTTATTTGTGTGTTATTTTAAAAGTTAAATTGCATGGAAACCCCCCAAAGTTTCTCCCATGTATATTTTAGACAAATGATGTTTCTGTTTTAATACGACATGGCTAAATTACACTACCCCATAATTGTATTTTAATTTAAATGGTCAAATTTCATTAAAACCCCTCATAGTTTCTCCCATCTAGATTTTAGACAAACGTATGTTTTTGTTTTAATATACGTGGCTAAATTACACTATCCCGTACTTTTGTTTAATTTTAAATAGTCAAATTGCATGCAAACTCCCACACTTTCTCCTGTTTAAATTTCAGACTTCTAAATTTTAAATCTTCTATAATTTTTAATTTATTTTTATTTTGATAATTAATTTTAAATTTATTCTTTAATTTTAATTAACAATAATATTAATATTTTAATTTATTCATTAATTTTTAACTTGATGTTAATAAAGTTGAATCTTAAAACTTTTGTAATAGCTTATTTTAATAAATGGTCATCGATTATTATTAAAACACAATTAATTTTCATTAATATTAATTACTAATATAAAAGTTAAAAAATTATCATCATGTTAATACTATTACAAAAGTTAATACTAATGGATGGGTTCACGGGTGTAGTTACACTTCTAAAAAAATTAAATTCTCTTACATTTTAGAATTTTTTTTGTATTTTTGTATTAACTATTTAATTTTGCATTCCAAAAAAATTACCTTTATTTTTTTAAACAAATTTTTAAGTTCGTATCTATGATATAAAATTTTGCATTCTTTCCTAATCTCGTCACCAATGGATCACAGTTTTTTCCTTACAACTGCAACGACAAACTAGTAGGTATAGATTTACGATTGCGACTAGTAGAATTTAGTTATACGAAAATATGCAAACAGAGAAAATACCTCGTATAAGTCTGTCTGCCGGCAAGATTAGGAGGCAGACAAGGAAATCCCGCAGCTATAAAATAAAATAAGCACAACCACCATCAGCTTAACATTAACCTTAAATGTAAAAACATGGTCCAATTAGAATTCGGTTCACAGATGACCAAGAATAAAACAGAGGAGAGCTCGACTAGTAAAAACCTTAAACAACACCTGAAACTGCAGCTTTTTATTGAACAAAACAAACGACACACCGACCAACAAGACAAAAGATTGAAAAGCTTAAGGTTTTCCGGAAAATTACTCGAATTTAGTTCAAGAGCGTCCGCTTTCCACCTTTTTCCCGTTCCCGGTCCTTTTGCGTATATGAACAGTGTCCAAGAAATTGACCGACAAATCGGAGTAAATCTCGATAACCTTCGAGATATTCCCGTTGATCTCCCGTATCAAACCGACGTTCTTAACGAGATTATCGGGAAAATCTGACTGGTGATTCTCGTTCACTTTCTGGATGAGTTCCCGGTTCTGATCCAATACGCAATACGGCCTGCGCCTTCTCAAACCTGTTGCTTAGCGTGTCCCATACCTCCACGTCACACTCCTCATCACCCGTTTCATCTTTATCTCCGCCACAGATACCGTTCGCCTTCTCGGCTCCGATGTTGAAACGCTTGTTTTTGTTCCTGCAGGTGTCGGCTATGGCAGCCTTCACCAAAAATGAAGCTTCAACCCGTTGTTTATTTTGGCTTAGAAATAAATGATTAAACTATACTAAAAATTAAATTTTGATGTTTAAAAAAATTTTCGCAAAAAATAAAACTACATCCTGTTGTTTAATTTTGGCCATTTTATGCATTATTTTTGTATTAAGACTTTATTTTTTATATTAGCTACAATTTTTGTTTGGTTTAACAATTTTTCCTTGTTTCCCAGTTGCTTGGGTTAAGAAATGGCGGTTAGTTGTCTGTGATGAGAATCAATGACGGGACGGTCCAGTTATTTGGCTACAGAGTAGAGTTGAATGTTTCATGAGGAAATCCGATTGGTTCGTGAATGATAGATTTGTCACAGAGGATGTGAACTTCACAAAGTTTGATTCGTCGTGCGTATACTTCATTTCTTGGGATATTTTGCAATCTCGAAAAAGAATAGTTAAAACAGAAATATCTGCCAACAAGCTAGCCAAGACAAGAAAAAAGTTACAGGAAAAATGGGTCCAGATGCACGTGAACTACACTTTCACCTGAACGCGCGTGGAATATCAACTACCCCACTGCCAATGTTGACGTCAACAGATATAGTTATACGAAAGAAGTTTAACGTTGTTACGTTGGATTTTTTCCATAAAGTTTAAAAATTATTTTTGATAGAAAACACTTAGTTTTATTAAAAATATAATATATTCAAAATTACAACGAAAGTTTACGAGTATAATCATAAACGTAAATTAAATTATAAGTAAGATATTTTTTATATTCATTAATACAAAAATTAATCACCTAAATCACACAAATACCATAAAAAGAAAAGGTTAGAAAATCTAACCAATGCTTAAATAAAATAAAAATACGAAAAAAATCTGACTGCACCACAAACAAACTATAAAAGAGGATAAAACTATTGAAAGACCACTAACAAATCGCAAATCAGAATCCAGCGACGTGAGAAAACTATCTACAAGCTCAAAACGCGTATTCAAATCAAAATTAGAGTTCGAAGTAGAGAAGATCAATATGATAACAAATAAACATCATCTTGATCAGTAGTGGCAATGTCAAATCCAACCCTAAAAAAAGATAAATAAAAACAACGGCAAAAAACTGTAAACTACAAAAAAACAGAGAAAAATATGTCACAAAGACATATGTAAACATATCATAAAGGTAGAGAAAATGTCACAAAGACATTATTATTCTTATTAAAAATTTAAAAAAATTGATAACCAACATGCAACAATCAATGTCAAAATCGGAGAAAGCAAGGTTCGGTTCCTTTTTCTTTGACGGATTAAATTTTTGATCTGTTAAATAGGGCCTGGTGTGTCCATATATGTCATATTCCTAGGAGGCTCAATGTCATTTCAGATAAACTAGCTAAAATGGCAATGGTTGGTGATATCTGTCTTCTCATGTATACAGTTCCACCGGGGTTGATTTTGCCGATGCTGCATGTTGGTCAAATATGAATACTAGCAGCCGGTGGCTGCTTGATATTCAAAGGTGGGGGGGCTGCTTTGAATAAATGGGTGGCTGCCTAATTTTGTTGAATTTAGGTTTGGGTTAATTACAATATTAGTCCTAAGCTTCAGCTATAAATACCCTAGCTCATTTAGCTTCAAAATCATCCCAAAAATCATTTCTTTCTCCCAATACTAGAGAGCTTTCTTGTGAGTAGTGAGTGTTTTGTAAACACCTGTAAAATTTCTCTCTTAGTAAAAGATCTGCAGCAGTCCGGAGACGTAAGCAAAATTGGCTGAACTCCGTTATCAATTTTTCGGGTATTATTTTTCCGATTTTATTTCGTGTTCTCACTAATCTGGTTATAGGGAAATTACTTGTACTCGGTTTATTTTCCTAACAACTGGTAATCAGAGCTTTTGGTTGTGAATTTTGTCAATTTTTCTGCGAGGTTACTATTCATTACTATTCACGTGAATAGTGAATTTTGTGAATAGTGAAATTCGGTCGGCGATACGAGTTTGTCGACGGAGGTGTTCTAATACACGGCGGTTCGCAGAAATTGTCAGAAACGATCCAAACGAAGCCAGAT